TATATATATATATATATATATAAATGGCAGTGGGTTTGGGTTTTTTGATGATCTAGGATTGTTGCGGAGTATCTTGGGTTGTTCCAAGGAGGCTTCCTTTAATAACTTGCTAATTAAATCTGGTCCCAGCTTAGAATTGCACTGTGTTGAAATTCTGGCTTCTTAACTAGAGTGATATTTCTGGCATAGCTTTGTTTTATATAAGGAGCTCTTACGGTGCAGTGGGTAAGACTGCTAACCAGAAGGTCAGCATTTCAAACCCACCAGCTGCACTGAGGCAGGAAGATGAAGCACTCTATTTCCATAATGATTTACAGCCTTGGAAACCCTATGGGGATCACTATGAGTCGGAATGGATTCGATGGCAGTGGGTTTTTGGTTTTTTAATTTTATATCTTCAAATACTATTATCTCTTACTAGCAGAACTACTGATTAATATGAAAAAAGGATATATAACACAGTTTTGTTAGATTTATCTGCAGGGAGAGAGTAAACAATCCTAGAGCATCAATTTTATGGCACAGATCACAATCTAGGGAGGCTCCTGAGTGACACATTTTTCTACAAAAAAAGAAGACACTCTGCATTTCCCTCTGCTCCCTGTTTCTTTTGTCCACTGAATGGAGCTTGATACATTAACACCCCAGTAGCAATGAGAGTGAAATAAAGATTAAATAAAACCTTCAAGAAAAAAATTTTAAAAAAGAAACCAAATAAGAGATGCGACGTCAAAATAAACAAGTAAAACCAAACCCGTTGCCGTCAAATCCATTCAGACTCAGAGCAGCTCCATGTGTTACAGCATAAACTGCTCCACGGGGTGTCCTTGGCTATAATCTTTACAAAAGTAGATCATCAGGTCTTTCTTCCTCAGTGCTGCTGCGTGCATTCAAACCCCCAACCTTAAGAGCTGAGTGCAAACTGTTTACATCAACCAGGGACCCAACCAAAAAATAATCCTACCTAAACAGTGTTCAAACCAGACAAGAGTTATTTTTTTCAGGCCCAGAAAGTACTTAGCAATAAAAGATATAATATCCTTGTTTTCATTAAAATTAATTAAACCAAATTTTATCTGCCTAAGGCACTTGACTGCTAACCAGAAGACTGGCGGTTCAAACCCACCAGCCACTCCTCGGAAGGAAGATGGGACAATCTACTTCCATAGTGATACTGCCTTGGAAACCCAAGGAGGGGTCGCTATGAGTCGGGGCCGACTCGACGGCACCTAACAACAACAACATTTACTTCAGGCATTTATTGGGACTGTGGCTCACTCATGCCCCGTGCTTGTCCTTTTTCCTCAGGTTATCTTTCTTTTTATTTAGTGCCCCAGAGGATAAAATAGAAAAATAGAGAAGAGAGACAGACCAAAAAGGTACACCTGAACAACGAATTACCCAAATGCTCTTTTCAAGCAAGGTTCCCAGAAAAAATTAAACCCTAAACTTCATGCATGTAATGAATTAACTTCTCTGGACATCTACAGCCTACTATGTACCCAAAACCAAACTCACTGCCCTCAAGTCAATTCTGACTCATAGAGACTCCCATTAGGTTCCCAAGGCTGTAGATCTTTACGGAAATACACTCCCTCATCTTCCTCCTGCAGAGCAGCTGATGGGTTTGAACCACCAACCTTCCAGTTAGCAACCAAATGTAAGCCCATTATGCCACCAGAGCTCCTGGTTAGATAGTTAATTATTAAAAAAAAAAAAAAAAAAAAATACAATTAACAATCTAACCAGTATAGTTAGTGGCTTTATAGGCATCCTGTCCACTAAAGCAGATCCATTAAAACACAATCTTAGTGTATTACTGAGGGGTTTTATCATGAACTGGGGATAATTTTACATACTCATGACAAATATGCACATGCCAATTTTATATGCCAAATTCACATTAAAGTACCACAGAAAAGAAATTCCCCAACATACTCAATGTCTACTGAAAACAGTTATTCAAGTTCCCATAGAACTGTAACTGAAAAGCACTTACTTTCCACCAGCATAACTGGACCCAACGCCAGAAGGCTGTTCAGAGCACCCCAAAGTTACCCTTTGTATTTCAGTAACGCGAACATCAGAAGATAACCAATGCTATCTCTTTTTAACATGTCAAATGGGAGATAACATATCAAGTCAGCGTTATGCACACATGTGTCATGAAGGAGGAGAAAGCAATGTTAACAGCATCTTCTGAGGGCCTGCTTCCTGTTTTCTGAAAGAACAAATTTGAACAGTCTTGCCAAAAATGAACAAACAGTTTCATGGAAGGCTATCTTTTTTTTTTCTTCTTCCATTTTTTATTTTTCCCATTATGAAAATTTAAACGTGACAAACTCATTGAATTTTAACCCCACCCCTTCTTGTGGGGTGGGGAGAGGAGCCACCAAGTGTAAAACCCAACAACTGCCTATGGTATTAAGTAAAGATGGCTCTCAGGAAAGGAAATCAACACACGAAATAATTCAGACCAACCAGAACAAAGCAGGAATGATTCAGCCTAACAGGTGGTTTCAAGCAAACCAAGAATTTTTAAGCTCTGTGCAAAGTCCCTCATTTAGCTGAACTGAGTATATCTGCACACTGAGGTACTGTAGTCCAGGAATGTCCAGTTGAAAACGTTAAGGATTCCCAACCTGTTCACAGCTTTGAAGCATCTTTCTAACCCTTTTTCTTCCCCATGATATTCTCTCCTAATATCACAGGGACATTTTAAGTAAATTAAATGGTACTTTTCAAAGCAATAATTCTAAGACATTTCAGAAAGTGCGCGTCAACCTGAAATGCTACAGAATCCACGCAAAAATTTCAGATTTAATAATAAAACTACTTCTTAAATATGGTATACTTTTTCATATACATTCCCATTAGGAAAAACTTTCTTCCCTCTTCAGTGGAACTTTAACACTCATTTGTTATACGATTGAAATTAAAATGTAATAAAATAGCATCCTATTTTGACAAATTCTAAACAACCAAAGTTGGAATTGCACATAAATAGTATCAACTACAAACGTAATAAAACTTTCAAGTGCAATCAGATAAGGAGCAACAGGCAATATACATTTAAACCTTTAGATAACAAGAAAAAAAAAATGAACACTTCAATTTATATCGTGCTCCCCCCCAAAAAAATCCCCTGCACTCCCTATTAAAAACTCGCTTTCATATACAAGTTAAAAATGGATTGTCATATGCCCCTTCCTCGTATTTCCCCCCACAAGCCAGGATGGTCAATGGCTCCAGATTTAAGACAACAAAAGCACGTGACAAAAGTTTCTCCCAACACTTTCTCTTTCAAGGCCTAGAGGCAGTCTCCTCCCAGGTGCGGGGTCAGGAGTGATCAGTGGCCCAGACGAAAGGGCTGCGACCCAAATAGGGCTGGAAGGGGGTCGGCAGGGCGCGGGGTAGAGGGTCGGGTCTAGGGGAGGCCCAGCCACCGGGATCAGGCAGCCGAGGACGTGACGGGGAGGGGTGCCGAGGCGAAGGCACCTCCCGAGACCACAGCTACCAGGCGGAAGCGCGGGGCCGGGGCCGATAACGCGGCCTGTTACCTTTTCCTGCTCCTCACGGAGCCGCGCCACCTCCGAAGCGCGCAACGGAGCCAAGGCCGAGGCCGAGGCTTGGGGCCCGGAGTCGGGCGGGGCCTCCATAGCGGGGTCGCCGGGGGCAGTGAGGCCAGTGGGCCTCAGCGGGGCGAACGAGTCCTAAACAAGTGTTTATGGAAGCGGCGTGGCCGGCAGCTGCCCAGCGCCCGCGTGCTAACCCTCATCCACTGCGCGCCCGGGGTTGAGGAGGCCGCGCCCGCGCTCTCCGCTGTTGCGGCGGCCGCTACTCGTGTCCGGGCTGCCCGTGACCGCATCTCACACGTGCATGCCGCCAGCTGCTGCCACCGCCACCGCGGGCTACAAGCAGCAGACCAGCGGAGTGACAGCAGGAGGTCCCTCTCTAGCAACCAGGCCGAACTAGGCGTCCAGTGGCGGCCGCGCCTCCTACGCAGGCCCCGCCCCTCGCCCCGCCCCGCGAGGCACGCTGGGAAGCGCTCGCGCCACACGCCTCCAAGCCCGCCTCCGGCGCGCGCACTCGAGCGCATGCTCCGCCCCTCTGGCCCCGCCCCCAGGTGAGTTCACGTATGGCGGAGCGACGTGAGGGTGGCTTAGCGTAAAGCAGACAGTATTTGTAGAGCAGTACTGGGTGCTTGCGCTCCTCCAGCAAAGGTTGCTTGAGTACCTCTCACGTGCCAGAAACTGTTTTCGGTGCGGGGAACACCAGGGGTCAATTACCTAATAAGCAAGGTAAGCAAACTGTTCTCTTCCGGTTAGTGAGTAAGCACAAGTAAACCCGTGCTTACCTTGCTTACTGGATATTCCGTCCCTTTCAGGAATTGTAAATTTGAAAAGAGGCTTTGGTTCTGTGGCAAGGTACTGTGGGGTTGGGAGAAAGACAGATGACCGCCATACCTAGAAGCAGGACCTTTGATGTGAAAAATAATGTGAAATTCTTCACGACAGATTTAGTAAGTAAACACAAGTAAACCCGTGCTTGTCTTGCTTATTGGGTAACTCGACACTGGGGGACACCGAAGTCCACAAGAAGCTTACTTTCTAGTAAGACCTAATAAGATCAACGCTCAGTGAGTGTTCTTTGAAATCAGCAGTCCCCCTTCCCTAGTCATTTAGCACTGCATCTGGCCGTAAGAGCAGGAGCTCAATTCGTGCACCTAAGCTTCTCCAGAACCACATTTAATTTTGGCAAATTCGACCCTTTATTGTGCCTTTTAAACGAATTAAAATATGGAATTATATTTTGTATATGTAATAATTACTGTACACATAATAAATTTTATTTGTATCTATTAAGCTAGTGTACTTAGTATATGTATGAACTACTTAAGAGATTTGTCAAGATTAGATTAAGTTTTCCCATGCTTCTCTTATTTTAAAACCTCAGTACCCTCTTTTCCTTCTAGTCCTGTTACTTGTCATGGAGTCAGCTCCCGTCCATGACCTCTGTATTAAAAAAACTAACATTGTCTGTTCCTTCGCCATCCTTATGCTCATTGGTATATTTGAGTCCATTTTTGCAGCTGTTGTATAGTGCTGTCCCACCTGGGAGGCTCATCTCTCAGCACTGCATCAGACAATATTCTGCTGTGATCCATAGGGTTCTCTTTGGCTCATTTCCAGAAGTGGATCACCAGGCTTTTCTTCCTAGTCTGTCTTAGTGTGGCAGCTCTGCTGAAACTTGTCCACCATGGATGACCCTGCTGGTATCTGAAATACTAGTAGCATAGTTTCCAGCCTCATAGCAACATGCAAGCCATTGTAGTATGACTGACTGACAGATGGCTGGTGGCTGTACATAGTAAGCCCCAGTTAATGCTTACTGAATGAAACTGGCCTTGTCCTAACCATTCCTACTTCAATCTCTAGTGCATGCTCCGCCCCTCTGGCCCCGCCCCCAGGTGAGTCCACGTACAGCAGAGCATGTGAGGGTGGCTTAGCAGAAGGCAGACTGTGTATTTGTAGGGCAAGACTGGGTGCTTGCACAGTAGGGATGGATCTTGTTCATTCTGTATCATACGAATAGGAATAGGCTGCGAGGTACCTGCAGAGGTCACACCTGGTGTGTCTTCTGGCCCCACTTCATTTCCCTCATTCCTGGCCAACTCCCCAGTCCGGATCTACCCTTTCTCTGTTGCTTTAAAGAAAGAAGCAAGGATAACTTGGTCAAAAGGTAAGTGTTGATTCTACTTTTTTCCTCATTACATGTCCACCATCGACCTCTGAAATACAGCCAAAATCTGACTGCTTCTTACCCTGTCCTCTCACACCACTATCATCTCTTCGTCCTCAACTATCTCAGTAGCTGCTTCTCTGGTCTCACTGCTTCCACTCTCGCCCTCCTGAAATAGGCCTTGGCAGCTGCCCTCCCTACTACCATTCCACCTATTCAGACAGTCAACCCTCCTCCACACAGCCCCTGTACCTATGGGAAGCTGACCCCATCCCCAGCTCCAGTCCAGGAAGTAATCCACTTTCCCTGTATGTTGTTTTTTTCCAGACTGGGCATGTGACCTTCACACAAATAGAAGTTCCTTTAGGCTTCTGAAAGGAGCTCTGGTGATGTAGTAGTTAAAGCATTCTGCTTCTAACCAAAAGCTCGGTGGTTTGACCCCACCCACTCCTCCATGGGAGAAAGATGTCTGCTTCTGTAAAGATTTACAGCCTTGGAAAACCCCTGGGGCAGTTCTACTCTGTCCTATAGGGTCACCATGAGTCCGA